CATGTAGTAGATGCCCACTTGTTTGAGGATCAGGGCCGTGTCGTGGTCCGCCAATCGTTGTTCCCCAGCACTGAGGTTTGGTAGTCCAAATCTTCCAGCTCCTCGATCTCGTAGTGGTCGGGGCCCTGGGCGTTTGAACCTCATTCTCGACACTGTCCTGCATGGTGGTCCACCAATCACACTCTTGATGGCCCCCTTTCTTGCCAAATTGGCCAGGAAACCCCATAGGCCCGGATTGTGAACATCCTGATCCTTGCCCTTGGTGATGTCCAGGGTGATCACTTCCCAGCCATCCTGTTCCAGCCTTCGCCATTCCTCCGCCTTCTCCCCCGCATAGAGGTGTAGCAGAATCTTCTTCGACTGTTGCAGTCGCCTTCGTGTACCTCGATTCCAAGGTAGTGTGCCTGTTGTGGATTCCTGACTTTCCGACATGTAGCGAAACACTCGGGAAGGCACCTGAGGGAAGCGTCTTTTCCACCACCCCATGATGTCCTCGTCCAGGTTCTCCTCATCATTCAGGTCTTCTACCTTTTTCCGCTCCGCCTCCTCAATGTCCGCGATGAGGGCCAATGCGTCCGCTTCCGCCACCACCGGGCACCCATCTCGCAACCACGAGGAGATTTTTCCCCTTTTGGGATGCACCACAACACAGCCACTTCGGCTCCACTGTAGTTTGTAGCCCAGGTCAATCAAGCCCCGAACTGGAACAATAGGCTCAATGCCTCCTTCAACCAGAATGGTACCAGTCACCGGATCTTGTTTGAGCGACACACGACCATGCGCCAAGTCCACCGGCACCAATTCAGCCTTTTCCAACTCATCGGGAAGTCCTGTCCGGAGAGGATGTGTTGCCCCACCATCCAGTAGTCCCACCTTGAGGTCAGGGTCACCTTCACCACATAGCGACGCCCCAACTGACTTACATTTCACGGCCATGAGCTTTGCCCGATGCAGTGACTTCAACAGCGCCGTCGCCTCACCCACCAAGCCTCCCACCGTGTTCACCTCCCCCAGGCGTAGACCTCGACCCAGTAGGCGCTTCCTCAACCGTTGCCGTCGTCCCTGGTGAAGTTGAAGCATTGGCCTCCTCCTCCAAGACTCCAGCACGCTCCGGCTTTTCCGGGCTGTTTATGTTGCTTCCCCCTTTGACCTTCGCCACCTTGACCGCCTCTTCTCCCTTCCCCTCCTTCTTCAAGAACGGGCAGGCTGTGCGACTGTGGTTCAAGCCAGAGCAATGAAAGCACCTGTTGTTCTTGGGACTCAAACGATGGTGCTTGAACTTGCACCGATCGCCACGCCGACACCCTTTTTCGGTCATCCAAAACCTGCAGGTGTCTTTGTCACCGGCGACATTCTCACGTTGTTCCCCCACCGAAGGACTCGTCCAGGACGTGGATGAAGTTCCGGAAGTAGGATTGGTAGCCACTGCTTTCAATGACGGACCCTTTCCCTGTCCCACTCCAGTTCCTGACCCCATCGCTAGCTCTTCCGCCTCCGCCTGTATAGGAACTCCGCGAAGATCTTGAGATTGTCCAACGTAGGCCTGGTGTCGATCAGCAACTGCTGTCTGCTCGTCGCCAGTCGATAGGCCACCTGAGCTCCAGACTTCGCCAAATGGTCCGAAGCCTTCACCAACACCCCTGCAAGGACCACTGGACCCGGAAGAAGCACCCCCAACTCCTCCGAGCGATTCCACCAACGCCGCCAGGTTCGAAGGACCTGCACCACGTCGCCCATGTTTTGGGTAAGTTTGAGCTCGGTCAAGTTCTTAATGAGGTTCATTCGTTCACCTTGTCCTCCAGGTTGAAATTTTATGTAGAGGATGAACAATACCTGAGCAACTGTCATTTTGCGAGCCGTGATGACCTCAGATTTCACAGTGTCAGGCACCGCTTGTAGCAACAGGCTGAGCATCCTTCTTTCGGTCCGAGGCCATTTGTTCGCCTCTTCCGCAGGCGCAGGGCCAAGACGCAAGCGCTGGAGAGGATCTGCCACCAACCACGCTTCGTAGGCCTGCTCCACATTCTTTAAGGTCAACTGCCACCATTGGCTGGCCCCTTGGCTGATCTCCGACACAATGGGCTCCAGGGTAGTCAACCAGTCGCCAAACGTCAGCGCCGTGGCATCCAAGCCCAGCACTGGCAATTCCACCGACCGAGCGTTGTCGCCCAGTGATTCCTCAGCTGGCATCCACATGCCATTTGCACTTGATGGATGTGCATTGGGAAAAATGCCACACACACCATTTCCCCATCAGGGCGATAAGGCCATGGATATGCTACTGACCCCACGCCTACGCCATTGGGACCCACATTGACTATGGGTGCAGTGGTCTTCACATCTCCAGCAGCTTCTCCACCTGGTTGAACTCGATCACCTTGGACTTTGCCTCCAGGAGCTTCCACTGCCGATTGGAACGACGAGTTCGAGCTCTGTTGCCCCAATTTGCGAACTTCTTCTTGGAATTTCGCTTCGGCCTCCTTCAGACATAGCTCACGAAGACGTTCGACTTGATCGCCGCCATCACGAGGTTGTTGACCTTGTCCTCGAGGATCGCTTGGACGAGCTTGATCATGAAGTTCCCTCATCTTCTCTGCGGACCAGGGATTCAGTGGTGAGCTCTTCACAGAACCTTTTGTCTCTTCGAGAACCCGTTCACGACCACCACCATTTTCCCGAGGATCAACTCCCCCAGGTCCCTTCACCGATGCACCTCCTTCAGTTAGTTCTTCTCGACGTCCTTGAGGCGCCACCGGCAACTGGTCTGCAGAAATTCCAGTCCCCCACATTCCAGGGTACGGTTGCTCCAAACCTGCGAGCATCCCCCAAGCTTGTTCTTGTACCGGTTGGAGTAGAGAAGTCATGCCCCCACCACCATCGCGCCCTCCGGCTTGTCCAGGATCGGCTGGCGCAGGTAGAGCTGGTTGTAGCCCACCCACCATAGGCACCTGTGGAAAGGTTGGCAAAGGCGGAACCATCGGCATGAACACCTGCGGAGGGCCTCGAGGCCCCAGTTCTCGATGATCTTCTGGCGCAGGTAGTGCCCTTTGTTCTTCCACCTGTCTTCTCTCCGCCGGCGTATTTGTCACCGCTGCATAGGATGTTCTCTTCAGGGATGGTGTCATCGTTCTGCTCGGCTCCAAGCTCTGTGCCCTTCGAGGCTGATCCCTCGCGGCTTCCAGCATGGCGTCCAGCTGTTCGTCAGCCGTTGGTGTTTTCGATCTTCTCCTCCGAAGCGTCGTCGATGTCATGGCATCACACGGTTGGGCTCATAACCCATGGGAGTAGCGTCACGTTCGTGTGTGCGGTCCTTTTCTTGAGCCAAACGTTGTGGCGGTTTTTTCGCCAAGTTTGTTGTGGGTCTCACGTGGTCCATGCTTGACGACTCACGGAAACAAAAGGATTTTTGCCGCACTGCCAGGCACTGCCCGGCACTGCCGGGTACTGCTCCTGCCTCATCCAAGCAAACCCCATTCCGATTCCCGGAGCGGGCTGGCAACTCACAAGAAGCTCCTGGTGCGAACCGGCCAAGCAGTGTTTTTTCCCCGACACCCGACAAGTATATTGCAAACAAAATGCAACCAATGAATCCCTTTACGAACGCACTGAAGGCAAAGAACATTACAGAGAAACAATGACACCGTTGAAACATGTTGAGAACATTTGAGAAACGTGTTGAAACATTTGGCAGCTAGGCTACGGCACGGCTTGACACAGCTTTATGTTCCACAACATTCCACAGTAGGCATGAAGACACTCTGAATGCCTTACGCAAAAGGCCACTGCGCTATGATGTTGAGGTCACGGAGAGTGGCAAACCATATTTGTGTCGCACTTTCTGGAGCTGCACAGGGTGTCTCGCCTCCAAGGTGTCTCGACCTCAGGGTGCTGAAGTTGCACGCTGCTGCTCAGTCGAAAAGGAAACATGCACGTGTTTCTTCGTTTTTCTACTTGTTGGACATTCTGGAGGGCCGCGTCATTCGTGCTGGCTGCTTCAACTCTGTGGACCCTGAACTGGTATATGAAATCATATGCAATGATCGTTGAACCATTGATGACATCATCCCTTCTACCTACTACCTCTTGTTCTGCTTCGACGTCTCCTTTTGGTTGATCAATGACGGCTGCTTCTGCTCAGATTCAAGTCGCCGAGCTCCCACAAATTCAAGGGACACTAAGTTGAGGCCCACAGGCTTCTTGGATGGTAATGGTCTTGTGCAGTTCTATTGTGTTGAATGGCCTCAATTGATATCAAATTGATATGAACTGAACTGATTGCCCGCCAACCAAGCAACTATTATACACTTGGAATCCAAACTCAAATGAACTTCAAGCAACCAACCTTGAAATAAATGCCAGGAACAGCTTTGAACAAAGACTTTCACATCATTTGGCCACACGGATGGAGACTAGTACCAAATAGGCTGCCCCACCACTCTCTGGGCTCCAAATGTGTTAGTTCAGGTGCTCGGCCGGAAGGGTCCTGAGCAAGCGGGTCCATGGTGTCTTGATGAATCACGTCTGGTCTGAGTCCGTGCCTCGAACGTTGCAAATGCTGCCACACAGGCAATAAGGTTGAATCGCCACATGGGATCGTTTAACAGAGGGTATGACTTGATCTGGTGGGTTTGATCAAGAAGTCTGATAAGAGCTTTTGGAGCAATGTTTCGGGATATTTGCTACGACTTTATCCGAGGACTACCCATGGACATCCGCGGACGCTCGTCACTCTCTGCATCATCTCACAGGTTGGATAACCTTGCAAGTATGTCAACCCCATAGTTCGGTCTGATCATTATGCGTCTCGTGGACAGCTGCAAGTAGTCTCTGCTACTGCAGCTTGAGCACTGCTCCGGCAATGTGTGTGTGTGCGCATGTCTCCTTGAATGCATTAGGCTGGATGATCTGCTTTTCTTCACCATATAGTGGTGACACAAATGAATGAATACATCACACTGCTGCGCCAGCACTTTGGTTCTTTTTAAACGCAGCTGTTTCACTCAGTCAACTGCCTCAAACTTGGCAGAGTCCTCAGCCCGCGTTGAATGCCAATCAATGTCACGAATGCAGCAATCTCTGCATTGAATCCAAAGTAACTAAAGGTTATCTAAAACATATCACAACGTAGAACACAAACACGCAACGAGTTTTGTTCAGCTCCTTACAAAACTACTAAACGGCTTAAAACTTGGGCATGCTTGCAGTATGATTCAGGTCGCTCACACCGGTATCACTGGTACAACAAAGGGACCATGACAAACAGCATGATTTAGTGTTTAAATGTGTTTATATAAAGGGTTTTTACTCACTCACGTTCTTGCTGACCCCAGCTGCCTGAAGCTTGCAGCCAACTCCCAAAGACCTAGCAGCACTCAAGTCAGAAGACACTGGCATGTACAACATGCCCATAGCTAAACAAACATCCTGGCCTAAGTGAAAATCGCTTCGCAAGCTCACAAGAAGTGCTGCAGAAAGGGCAAAGGTCAATTGAAGTTCAGCATTCGACACAGAAAATGGTCTACGATGGTTGACGTAGATCCAGTAAGACAAAACGAGAGTAGAACCACGGACACTTGCTGTCTCATTCCTTGACAGCTTTCATTCACCTTGTTTGGTCTGTTCTGGTACACCAGTGCAGGCACTGCTCCTGGTAAAGCAAGAAGAGTACTATGTCTATGTCAGCCGTTAGTCAAATAGCTTCCTCTATCGACGATGACGACGGTTTGTTTCGGCAATACCCTCGTGAAGGCCTTAGGAACGCAGTATCAGCATCGTCTGAGTTCGCTTGCTCCTCCTTCGCTGCAAGTACAACAAAAGCGCTCTAACAGCTGTTGGGGCCAACAACCTGTCACTCTCGAGTGAAATCTTGGCGTATTTGATGCGAACATACGTTAAATCATGTTATAGTAACAAGAAGCTATTAGGAACAAGTGCCACACTAGTAGTAACAAGTGCCTTACTAGTAGTAACAAGAAGCTATTAGAAACAATATCTCACAAGTCCTGCAAAACTGCGAACACACAGCCAACCAACGTCGGATGAAGAGGCAAAAGGCCTGCTTAAGAATTCAGCAGGGGGGTGGAAAGTAGCATGTCTTCACAATGCGGCCTGCTGAGATGCGGAGACTTCAAGCGCTTCAGTCTCTCTGAAGAGTTCTTCGACTCCAAACTCCTTGGCGACTCGGCGCTTGGCAGTGGGTGAACTGATAGGCAGTTCTTATTGCGGCTTCCTTTTGGCACTTATATACTCCAGGTGATGGCATGGAGTCTGAAACAACACTTTCGATCTGAATCTATCGGATCAAGTGGCTGTGCAAGGCGTCAACGTGGTAACTAGTGTGGATTGTGTGATAGTCTGCGTGTCACTGTGTTGTATCAGAACAGCCGCAAACACTCGCCAGGTCTTTCCAGTCTGCAACTCAATTCAGAATCTACCTAAATGGATGTTGTCTGAACTTTTCCTCTGCTGCAGCAAGGCCACGTCATCTGGCACCTTGAGTTGAGAAGTTGTGACTTTGAACTCCTCAAACTCTGCATCTGTCAGCAAGCACTCTTCCAGAAGCCCAACCTTGCCAAGGTCAAACAGTGGAACCAAGATCTGGCACACCTTTCGGAAAGCAACTGCTGAGTTTCAGCCATTACAAATCGCGGGGAGTTCACGTGCTCTTCGGACCAATATGCATTAACGTGCACGTCCAGAGCTGTGAGCGGCATTCTACTTTGGGCTTACGAAGCAGCGGCATTCTACTTTCGCTGCATTCTGAAATGATATAGATTGAAGAGCGGGGACAGGGCTTGGCCCAAATAGTCATCAAACCAAAAGGCTTGGCGCAACATCCCTGATCATGCTATGATTTGTGATTTGTGGAACAAACGCAACTCATGGTTCTTGCCAACTTTATCTTGGCAAAAACCAGTGAAAAGCGGTGAATGATGGCAATAGGTCAATGTGCTGGTTGCGTCCGGACGTGACAAACACAAAGTCTGCTGCAAGTTCCAGGGAACAATGGTCTCCTCCACCATTTCGGACCCTCCAATGAAAACCAGTTCTTGCCTCACGGTCAGATTTCAACAGCTCAGCCATCTGGTTCTGCTCAAGCTTCACAACATTCGATCAAGTGCGTAAAATTAACAACTGAATGTTGGCTACAACTAGCACGTGTTCTTTGTTCCTTGAAGCTGTGGCAACAAACATTCCCATTGCCTGCAGTCTCCCCACTCGTGATGCCACTTTTGCTGCAGTTCCCTGAACTCAGCCTCCGCTCCTGAAGTGGCACAAGCAAAGCAAACAACTTGAAACGCCATCAATTTTGGTGTCTTCTGTAAATTCATCTAAATTCCATTACAATCAGGCAGGGAAATTCAGGGACTGAGAAACATCCAATCACTGTATTCTCCCCTAAATGTGGTCCCAATCCAATCAAATCAATGAATCTGTTGGGCTTTGACATGGCACCATGAAAGTTGAGATGTGCTGCAAGGACAGCCACAAAAGAACTTCTAAACAATAATTCATGGGCAATGCGACAATCTATTATAATGCGACAAAGGAGCCGTGCCGCACAAAAACAATACTGGGTTCGATCCCACCACCCATCCTCTGTCCTCCCATCCCTAGTCCTGGATAACTCAATCGGAATCTTCTCTGCTCCGAGTTGAGCGGCTGCCACCAGTAGTCCTCCGGCGCGCAGCTCACGCAGCGCCCGGCCTGGGACCATCGAAGGCAGCGCAGTGGCTCTGTAGTGGACCAAGCAAAGCCTGCGTCAATTGGCTCCGTCCATGGGCCAAAAATCAGGACATCTGCTACTATCTCAAAGGACATAGCCTCGCTTTTTGGCTCGTGATCCAGGACCACGGACCAAATAGAGTATTTTGATGATTGAAATACCAGCGGCTGTGTGGAGTTCGGGGATCTTTCAAACTCCTATGGAGACTGCTACAGCTCGAACACATCTCAAAATGTCTAGTTGTTCCATTTTGTTCTTGAGTGTTAGTTAATATGTTGTCCTGGATTGGGTGCTTGTTGAAAGCTGACCATATAATCTTACAGAATTACGGGACAAGTACCACCGTGAAGACAAACGACAAGCGCCTTTTGAGCGCAGCACTCCTTGCAGTGCTGCCTGGCTAGTGGAATCAACTTCAAGCACCTGCAGCGGTAGCAAAGTCCGAAGTGTTCTTGCACATCACATGCACGTGTCCAACAGGACTTCCAATTGCTCGATTAAGATTCAATAAGATCCTGCGCCAACCCGATCTGAGCCACGACTGAACCACGGGGCCAAACGGGTCTCCAAAACGGCTGACCTCTTGTTCAATGTCAAAGCTGCAGGACAGCGCATCCTCCCAAGAACAACTTCAAGATAGGTCACCCAAGCCCAAATCAGCCCAAAGCAAAGTATTAAATGCCTAGTTGTTGATATTCATGGCGATTTGCTCTGAACTTTTCGCTGTCGTCTTAGAACCCCTCGTTGATTCTCCTGCCACTCTTCCAGGAGATGCTGCAGCCGCTGACCGTGGAAGGGTCTCCGCCGTTGGAACACGAAGCTCCAAAAGGGTCTCCCCTGGAAAAGTCGTTGGAGTCAACAAGAGTCGAAACAAGAGTCAAGACAGAGTATGTAACAGAATGTCTTCAAAAGAAAGTCCCAAGCAATTCTCAAGTGATCACAATTGGATTTATAACAAATCACATTTCGTTGTATGCAAAATTATGTTAAATAAATGGTAGCATGCCAGGACCCTTCCTGTCTTGCTATGTGTTGTCAAACTCTTGCCACTCTGCTAGGCTTTCAGTGATTTGCACCCCGCCTCTTCACTTGCTATCCTGGTATGACACAGGGCCAAGGCGGCCAATGCAATCGCAGAAAGGCGACCACCGTCCGAAAGTTCCACCGAGAGACCAAGAGAAACACATGAAAAAACGGTCCTGTCGTCTACGAGCCCGTTGAAGTTTGGCAACCAGTTTTTGCACGACACCATTCATGTTGCCCTCTGCACAAGATCCAGGATAAATCTTTCCAAGGTCACCCCATCACGAGAACAAGAACTTGGGGCTTGCAATGAATCTATGTAGGTATGTCACCAGGCCAAAATTCTGAACTCGACAGTACCAGTTTCAGATCGGCAACTGGTCATCGGAATGCCTCACAGGCTTGGCTTGGAAGCAATGGCCATTGCAATGCTGGTGGCCACAAGCAGGAACACCTAGAGCCATCAAACGTGTCCTAGCCAGTGGATGAGTTTAGGATATTGGCAATCCTTGGAACTTGAGTTCCAACCCTAAAGGGACACTGATTCATCCAGTTGGATATTATCTTGGTGCTAAAACATCTGCCCTTCGTGGAGCAGTTGGGGAAAGTCCGCCCGCATCGAAGGTGCCGAGGCGCTTTTTCTGTTGCATGCGGCAAAGGCAAGCATTGATTGGCTCAATAGCTTTAGCTAGGAAAGGAAATTTTTGTGCTAGAATCATGTGTTTTTCCACGTTTTCTGATATGGTCCAATCGCCGAACATAGGTCCCATCTTGGCCAAACATAGGCCCAACATAGGCTCGATTGGGCGTCACATAGGGGGGGGGCAATTTTGCTCTAAAACAATATTATGTTTTTTCAACGTTTTTGAATATCGGCAAGTTGGTGAACATAGGTCCCATCTTGTGCAAACCAAGGCCTAACCTGGGCCCATAGGCCTAAGATAGGCTCAACACTGCCCAACATGGGGCCAAAATGGACCTAACATGAGCTCAACATAGGCCCGATTTGGCATAACATAGCGCTCTTGGCTAAACATAGGCCCAACCAAGATAGGCCCAACATGGCTCAACATATGCCAAAATGGACCTAACACATAGCCCCATAGGGTCCAACATAGGGGG